TTTTATTACTTGTATGATTTTTGTGCTTACTTTTAAAATATTTATATTCATTATAAATGGTTTTTACATTTTTATTTAATTTAATGTGTAAAAAATAAATACAATTTTTTTACATATAAATGTTATTTCTTTAAACAGCTGTTGCTCGAGTTTCATACCAGAAAAAAATGTTTTTATCAGTTTATTATTGGTTCATTTATATATGACATCATTGATCACTTTTACTGCGAGGAAACAACGACAGCCTGTCAGATGCTCAGAAACTCAATCTTACCTAATAACAGTAAATACAGCACAGCTTCTATTTAAGGGTACGTCAGCCAATCAGGAAGCAGAAGGAGAGTCAGATGTCACTGTGGGCGTGGCATTTGTTTCAGTTCATGCCTGCATGCAAACTGCTGCTTTCAGCACAGGAAACAGGCCAGTTTATCTTCAGTCTGTTTCTCCAGCGCGTGTTCATCGCCCTCTGGTGGCCGAGTTAGTCAGTGCAGCTTTAAAACACGATAATGAAGCTCAAAGCAGAACAAACAGACGCGTCTCTACAGTTTTTGCTACGTGTCCTCTGTTTACAGGAAGTCTTCCTCCACCTTGGATGTGAAGCGGTCCTTTTTACTAACGTGGGCGGATTTTCACTGTTACCCTTTGAGCCGATCGCCACCTCCTCTGCTCCTCCCTCGTTTGTGCTTGTGGTGGTGACAGACCCTGGAGAGCCGCACAGAGTTCAGGTGAGGCTGTGGCAGTCACACACAGAGACTGATGATGTTACCTCTCAAATCAAACGCCTCACAGTTAGGAGGAGCAGATGTGACTCCGCCCCTCGAGGGGAGGAGCTGTGACGACAGGAAACAAGAAAATGAACTTCAGTTACGACTCATAACCTCGGTTCTATGTGCACAGATGGAGCTGAAGGGGTCAAAGGTCAGGGCTCAGCCTTGTTTATGGTGTGGATGGATGTTTTCAGTGATGAACCTGCTAGCCTTTAAACTTTCGGACGTGTTGGTGGAGGTTTTGATCGACTTCGTCCTTCACTCATCCTGCTGATCAATCACAGCGACTGATTCAGGTGTGTTTGTGGTCCAAGCATCGTGTTCTGGAGTTGCTGGTGATGTCACTCAGCCAGGCGGACCACCAGAGCCCTATGTGCACAGAGTTCAGCCGATCAGAGGCCGGTCTGGAGGCCCAGTGTGGTCAGGGGTAACATATCTGGAGAATCAGCTACCCTAACCCCTGGGGGCTCTGGTGGTCCCGCCTTCATCATTAGGACGTGGCGGCCTGTTTGTTGCGGAAAGTTTCAAAAAACGCCATCATGCCCTTCCTCACACTGCTGCTGCTGCCGCTACCCTTCGCCATCCTCTGCGCCATCATGCTGGAGCTGCTGCCGCCATGGTGACGGGATGTGAGGGGAGGGAAGGCGGCGCCATCCATGGAGTTGGCCCGTTTCACCTTTGACGGGTTTGCACGCCATGATTTGGTCCTTGGGGGAGGAGTCTGAGCCACCAGACACTTCTGATACTGGACCTGAAGGAGCAACAGCAGCCAACAGAGGGCGCCAGAGGAATGATTTATTCTTATGATTAATATTTATGCAATATATCAACAAAAACTCTGAGTGTACGTCAGGTGATCAGTGTGATGTCCGTGACCTGCATCTCTCACCATGCACGCAGCCTGGACGGCCTCGGAGATGATCCCAGCGTCCGGTTCACACCAGAACACGTGACATTCAAACTGCTGCGTGCCGCCGTCCACGATCACTGCGAAGGTGTGGCTGTCGTGACCGACGCCCAGGAAGGTGAGGAAGCGTACCTGACACTCCCAGAATGGCTCGTCGCCGTCCTGTCAGCACGACAGGAGGAGGGTTAAACACAGCCATGATGACCTTTGACCTGAAGTCTATGTGCATCGAGGACTGTACCTCTCCTTTCCACAGAGACAGGACGTTATCGGTGACGTGGATCACGGTCGGCTCCCAGTCGTCTCGGTCTGTGGAGTTCATGATGCTTTCTATCGCTCGGTTCAACACCTCCATACCTGCGACACACATCAGCGACCTTTAACCTTTTAATCACACAATATTAAAACACTCCTACTGGTTACACTAAACATTCACAGAGGGTTTTATTTCCACCGAGGCCCTCCTGATCGGAGACCTCAACATCTGCGATCATCCACGTCAGATGTTCCCTGTGGCGCTTCAGGCCAGTTTCAGGTCGCTCAGCTGAGCCGTGCATCTCCAGGTTTCATGACCAGGACTCACCTGGTCTCATGTTTGGGAGCCGTGTATAAAAAAGATCCTAAATAATTAGAGCAGTATTTTGTTAAGTCGCTTGAATTAAAGCTGAAAGTCTGCATCATGGTTGTCTGCATGATCACCTGTTTGTGCGTGCTGTACATGAGTGTATATCATGGTCCAAAGCACCAGTGTTTCCAGTGAATGCATATTAATGGTTGAGCTCAGCCCAGGTGTGACAGGTGTGTTTATGTCCTACCCATGGCTCGCGACACCGGCAGGTTGCCGATGTACTGGACCTCAAACTTCTGCACCTGCTGCCGCACTGCCTCCAGAAACTCCACTGAAACGACAGCAAGATCAGTAATCAGCCAAAATTAGTGCAGGACCAATCAGAGCGCAGCGTCTACACTAAGGACGCACGGCAGGTGACTCACCTTGTCTCGGCAGGTCCTCAGGTGAGATGCTCTCCATGGTCAGGGAG